CATGTCCATTTGTCAAACTACAGTTTTCAGAAGAGCTGTGACTCTTCTCTGGGGTGTTCTGGTTATAGATACCTGTTTCCTTGATGTCCAGCCCCCAGTAAACATGTAGCGTTCAAGTGATTTGATTGACTTATGTTCCACAAAATCCAGAGTTAGATCTCAGTGAAAGCTGCCGCTTCCTTGCAATGAATTGTGTCTTTCCACATGAATGCATTAAACGGCCATCATTAATAACTACCCAGGCATGAAACTGACAGACAAAAGATTTGCAGGTAATGACTCTATCACACCAATCTCATTTTTTCAGTGATTGATTAAAATTTCATGGTTAAGATAATATAAATTTTAGCTAAACTAACTTATATGGATCTTAATACTTTCTCTGTGATGCTACATTACCAAACAGTGTCTTTCTTGAATCTTTTATTTTCTGTTAGTGGAAAAGAAGAGTTGAATAGGGATCAAGATATATAGAAAATGCTTTAAATATCCTACTAGTGACCAATAGCTCACAAAGGTTTTAATAAAATGCTAAAACACTGTCTTTGCCAATTGCCCTTTCTAATAAAAATTCAGAAACTCCAACTTGCTGCTAGAGCTAAAAAATTTTAAGAAAGAAGAAAAAGAAAGAAAGAAAGAAAGAAAGAGAAAGAAAAAAAAAGAAAAGAAAAGAAAAGAAAAGAAAAGAAAGAAGGAAGGAAGGAAGGAAGGAAGGAAGGAAGGAAGGAAGGAAGGAAGGGAAGGGAAGGGAAGGGAAGGGAAGGGAAGGGAAGGGAAGGGAAGGGAAGGGAAGGGAAGGGAAGAAGTCCACTTTTATTTCTCTGAGTCCAGATGCTCTTGGGAATCTCTCACCTCAGACTTCCGTCTACTTGAGCTCATTACGTAGGATGGATCCAATCATCTATTGTAACAAACCACCTTGGTCACTTCAAACAACACAGGTTTATGATTTTACAGTTCTGAATGGCAGAAGTCTAAAAGGGCCTTCCAGAGCTAAAATCAAGGTCTTGACAGAGCTGCATTTTTTTTTTCTGGAAGCTACAGGGAAGACATTTTCTTGCTTTTTCCAATACTTTCTTGTCTGCATTCCTTGACTTGTGGCCCCTTCTTCCATTTTCAAATCCATCAGGGTATTGTCTCTAAATCTCTTTTCCTCTCTCTCAGTCTCTCTCTCTCTCCCCCCCCCCCGCCCCCGCTTGCATTATCACATCTCCTTTCCTCTGCCTTCCTGTCTTCCTCTTCCCTTCCCCTTATAAAGTCACTTGTGATTACACTGGGCCCACCAGATAATCTGGATAATTTCCCTATATTGTAATTCTTAACTTAATCACACTCAAAAAGTCCCTTTTGTCATGTAAAATAACATATTCAGCTTTTGAGGATTAGAACACGGACACTGTAATGGGGTCATTATTCCGTTTACCACAGTGAAGAAGCTGTCACTGAAAGCTAGAAACTTAGTGGCTCTGGCTTAAGTAAAATCAACTTGCAAAAAAACTATGGCCTATATTAATTTGGAAGATATAAAATGGACTTACACCTCTTACTAAGGAGACCTCCAGGCAAAGCGTTGAAAGCGCCAACAGGCTGTGTTGTGTAAGGAAGAAAGAGATCAGCCACAGAAAGAACCATTCAGTCTGCAAGCAGAATTTCAAGGAAATATAGAAGAATCAGGATGTACTGGGTTGGAAAACAAAACTATTTCACATTTTCACTGTCTTTAGTCAGTGAAAGATTCAAAAATGAAGAAATGACCTCAAGGTTGAGATCAAATCAAAAGTTTATCTATAAGACCTTTTGTTAAAGACCTCAGAAAGATCTAGCAGAGTGCCTAGTTAGACCCTCTCAACTAGAATAAAGAGTCTCTAAAAATCTTAAAGGCTACGTGCTATAGCACCCTGACTCTTAGCCCAAAATAGAGAAAGGCCTGTCTCAAAAAGAATTATGGATGTGACTTGAGGGGCATGAGGTGAACCCAGTCGGATTCACAGATTTCCCACTGAGTGGCCAAATGTAAAAGCTTTGTACCAGCTTGGGCTAAAAGGGGCAGAGACAGTTCAAAATGAAAAGAGGCTCCGGGCCCCCAACATTCTACAAGCGGGGAGCAAGTTGAGAAAGCTACTTAGCTGCAAACACAGGCCGTTTCTTTTAGAAAAGAGCACGTCTGAAGGACAGATGTAGGGGCCACAGAGAACAAAGAATCAGGGAGCCACTCCCATGAAGCAGAACTGAGCCCTCATCAAGGAATATTCCCTTCCCTAGAATAAGGAGGCCCTGCGCTGTGTCCCTGGCTGGAGTTCAGGATCGTTAAGGACCAATGACTGCTATGAGCCTCCTCCTACTCCTTTCTTTTTTTATTTATTTTTTTTGTTGTTGTTTTGTTTTTCTCAGAAGGGCAGGCTGCCACATGCAGTACCTCATTTGGATGTGTTTGGAGTCCTGGAAGCTTGACCACACTACCTTCTGACCTTGAAAGGGTCTTTGGAGGGTCTAGCAGGGGAATACAGCTACTCAGGTATGATTATTCTTGACCAAAGAACAATCCTCCTCTGTCAGGGAAGGTCATCCTCTTCCACTGAGCACACAGGTTTGGGAGGGACACAGAAGGAGCCCTGGGAGAGGAAGGAGACACCCACCTTGCCAGCCAGATCAACCCTGGTGATCAGTAGGTGACAAATGTCAGAGGCTTTCACCCTCACATCCTACCTCTCTGTCCTTTTTGAATTAGGTTTTCTGCACTGGTTATCTTGACTCTATCTTCTGTCCTACCATTGTGTATTTGGTGTAGGGGTCGGGTAACCTCTTTTCTTAGTTCGCGGATCTCAGGACTAAGAAGAGCTGCACGCAAATGATTAGGTGAGACTCTGAGGGTCTTAGAAATGATGAGTGTATTTGAGAGCAAGCTATGGAGACCAGATTCTGAGTGTATTTGAGAGCAAGCTATGATAGACTCAGATTCATCTCCCCCAATGAATCAGACCTCCCAGTACCCACATCTTTTTGTTGAATCTTCTTGCATTGACTCTGAGCTTGACTACATGTATTTCTTTGGCCAATAAGATATCAACAAACATGACAGAAATAGGGATTTGAAAGGAACTTGTAAGTTTGGGGTTCGTCCTCTTGTAATGCTGCCCCCAACATGGCATGGCCTAACCTTCTGGAGAATACAAGACCATGGAGAAATAAGGTGCAACCATTGCAGCTGTCCCAGCTGAGCCCAAACTCCAGTCAACCTTGTAGCTCAGTACAGCCCCGTGAAAGCACATAGGCAAAACCAACAGAAAACAACCCAGCCAACTCCCAGAATAATTACACAGCAATAGATAATGGAAATAGGAATTCAGTAAAAGCATGGTCCCAGGAGTTATGGAAAGATGAGGCTAAGTTCCAATCTAATGGACCTTTTCCATTGCCTGAAGCCAGCCTGCCTCCCCATCTAACCAGCCTACCATTTTAGCTTTCCTCCATGGGTACTGGATTCTCTCTCATAAATTCTATTCTTCATAATCATAGTCCAACTTTTGCCTTCATTTACCACCCAAGTCTCCCAGAATCATACCTTGAGGATCTTATATAATGTTTGTCAATTTTAATGAGTTTTGAAATCATATCAGCCCTTATATGATGTCATGAATACATCTTTAAGCTTTCTGTATTCTACTATCCCAGATTATAAAGCTATATGTGTATCTTGGGAATAAACCTTCATCAAGAGGAATCACCCTAGTAGCTTATTTTAAGAGACAACTTTCTTTCTTAAAATATTTTGTCATTTTTGCAAAAATATCTGCTTTTACTTTAAGTACCTCCCTTTCTTCCTTCAGGTTCAACCTGAGCCTGGGCTCCCAAGCAAGGTCAGGAAAATTAGAAAACCCACCACCACACAGATTGATGAAGCAGATCCAAGTACTTCAGTGCCCAGGCCCCTCCTGGGAAGTAAATTCCATGCTCACGAAAGGACAGTAACTCTTCCAGGTTGCAGCTCGCTATATTGTCTCTCAGAAAATGAAAGAGGGAAATGATCCAAACAGGCTCCCTTATTCACTGCCAAGGACAGAAGCTTTCACCTATTCTGCTGCTTCACTCGCTCCTGTCCACAAATCCATGAGGCAAGCAGGCAATATTATCAGGTCCACTCTATGGATAAGGAAACCAAGCTTCCAGAAGGATAGGTGTCTGACATAAGGTATCAGAGCTCGTATGAGGCATTATTATAACAACAGCTTAAATTCAGATCCCTCTTTAAAACAGTACTCGGACATTTTTTTTCTGCTTTTTTGAAGAAACCTAGACCCAAACCCTGATTCTTCAACTTATAAGCAGGTGAATTTGAGCTCATTTTTGTGGCCTCACATGTGAATTGTGGATAATGGTGGCTGCACTACCGAGTTCTTAGGAGGATTAAATGAGATAGAGTAGAGGGGAAACAGAGAGGCAGCAGTTTAACATGTAGGCACTAAGCCAGGCTGCGTAGGTTTGAATCCCAGTTCTCTTAATTCCTAGCTCGGTGGCCTGGGGCAAGTTGTTTAACTTCTCTGTGTCTGTTTCCACAACTTTAAAATGGACAGAAACATAATAGTCTTACGTCACAGGATTTGGGGGGTAGTTTGAGGAGGAGCTAATATATGAGAAGTTCTTAGATAGAACTTTTATAGTAAGGATCAGTCTCATCACCCAAGGCCTGGCACATGAGTCACACTCAATTGGTGCAAGTCCTATGTTCTTTTCAAGTCCTGCTACAAGTTCTTCTGCTCCATACTACTTCAAAACTTTAGATTTTACAGCCTCAACTTCTGTGCATCAGATGTCCAGTTTCTGAACCAAAAAAAAAACAAAAAAACAACCACAAGTCCTTTTAGTTGGCATTGTTTCAAAAAATCTTTACTAGAATGAATAGAAAGTTTGTCTCTGCTTTGATGAAACACAAATTATTTTTTTTTTGCCTGACTGGAGTTGACTTTATTAAATAAATTATTCACTATGACAGGGTAAAAAGCTGAACATTTTTGAACAAAAGAGACAGTCCCCAACCGCCTAAGAAAGCTCCGTGGTTCCCTGTGGAGTTGAGCAGACACCAGTAGGAATCGACGTCTCAGAGAACTGAGACTATACGGCAGCGATTCAGCAAACTTGCATCATCCTCTATCAGCTTCTGTGACTCTGAGCTCTGGGAATAAAAGAAGTCAATTAGAAACATTAATAAGTGCTGAGTCTGAAAACAGGAATTTAAAAATAATGACAGACGTTCAATGCATATTCAGGGGAGTTCCATTATATTCACATTTAACTTATTATGCTTTAAATATATGCTCTCAGGTGAAAAGAAAGAAGGAAAGTCAGAGAGACAGAGGGAGAGAGAAAGAACTACAGCAGGAATGTAATTGAATCCAAACAAAATTCCCTGCCCCTACACCTGGGAATGAGAGTGACATGGGGCCATGACTCTGCTACCCTTTGGGAGATTCCCATGTGTCTCCCCGACATGAGCTCTCACCTCACCATAGTGAGTGTGAATGTAAGGCTAACTAACAGGAAGCTGCTTTTCACACACCTGCCCCCAAATGCAAGCCAACATCTTCCCCTGGTGCCCAACGAAAGCAAGCACCATCTGCTCCAATATTAGAGGAAAAACTGGCTGCAGTGGATTTCCCGACACAGATGTCAGCCTCCAATGAGTTGCCTTCCTAAGGATTTTCTAGTGTAGTCTTAACAACAGGAGATTTTCACATTATAGAACTCCATTGTTCTGTTTCTTGGATTTTCTACAACAGTGTTTCCTCCCCGGATCGTCAATGTAACCTAGAAAAAGAAACTTAAGCCTTCCTTCTATAATGCGAGACATCAAGCCTTCTAATTTCTCACCCATAAATTTAATTGGGTTGCTTAGATGATTTAAAGGCTTGCAATCTTTTGTTTTGTTTTTTATTTTTTATTTTTTTTGCAATCTTTTGTTTAAAAAAAAAAAAAGGAAAACAGGAATATTTATCACTTCTTCACCGATCCTAACAACTATCATGTGTTCACCTCATACCTAGGGCACTAAACCTATAGTCCCTGGACTCTGGCTGCATTCCCGACGTGGAATATAATGTTTTCAATAATAAAACTCAGCAGGAGTCATTGCTTTGGAAAAAATGAGCATAGCATTAGTAATGTGCTTTCATCTCTTGCTATGAAAGCGATACCCCTGTCAGGAGGACTTGTTTCAAGTTTATCTGAAATTCATTTATCCTGAATGGGTTAAAGTATTGCATCTCCCAGGAAATTCTCCCTGGGTGGGGAGAGGAGAGGAGAGAACTTAGAGACTTCTGAAACACAACTTTTAACCCAGAGGAGATTCAGACAGGTAACATTTCAGTTTTCATTAGAGTGAACATTTCTTAAACTTGAAGCTTTATTTTACATATAAAATAACAATGGAAGTATCCCATTTTCTCTTTCTCAACTTGAATATCAGTACATTAAATTCAAATTTGGACCTAGATTATGTTACAAAGAAGCAAAGCGAAAGAAAAAATAAAAAAAATCCCAAATGCTGGATTGATAGCTGCCAAATTCTAACTCCGTAATTGATAAAGTGATCACTATTATTCCCATTTTACACATGGGAAGCCTGAGGTTTCAGGAAGTTAAATTATTTACTCTAGTCTCATAAATGATGGAGGTAAGATTGAACGTAGGTCTCCTGACACCAGAGTGGCTTTTTCTCAGATGAACTGCAGGACCATTAAAAAAGGTAGCTAGTTCTACTCCCTTCATAATCAGAGATGTGTCTACTATGTTCTGAGCCAATGACCAAGAAAATAAAGAAGAAAAACACTCAAGCCCTCCTCTACACTAAGGCCTCGGACATATTCAGAAGTTAGAGTTTCCTCTTTCTCAGGGAAAACTCCTCCTCCCTGAGAGCTGGTGGGAAAATTCATACAATCTGTGGAAATCACAAATCAATCCATCAACACCCCAACCAAAATCAGAACAAAAGAGACTAAAAAGCCCAAAACAATTCAACTAAAGTTACACTTGAAAGTGTAAAAGATTTAGAAATGTAAGGAAGAGGCATCCAGGCACCAATAAAATTGCACTGCTGAGCACTTGGCAGAGGAAAAAGGGGGGCTTTATGTTTAATGTATCAAACGTGCTGTCGGTGGTGGCACCTGGGCCTCCCAAGGCCTCCTCCTTCGCTCAGCCTCAGGGAACTAGAAGAGCTGCAGCCACTAAAAAGCACTGGCAGCAGCAGAAAAAGAAAAAAAAAAAAATCTGGGTAACTTGAGATTAACTTTCTATCCCTCAGGCAGATATATGCATAGTGGGCAGAAACAAAAATAGAAATTCCCAATCACCTTCTTACAATCTTCCCCCAGGATTCTCAGAGGCCACTCTGTGGTTGATGGTGGCAATCCGCATTCCCTTGCCGAACCCCAGAAGACTGGCTTCTTTGGGGAACACCCTGTTTTTCACACACCTTGATTCTGTCTTTTAGATTTTTCAATTTTCTAATCCATTTCTTCCAATAGCTGCCAAGAGAAAAGGAAAAAAGCTTTCAAACTATAATGTAAAAGTCTACAAATGGATAACCATATGTGTGCGCGACTCTGGATGCATTTAAGTGAGCATTTTGGTTCTGTCGACAAAACACAAAATGAAGTGGATGCTAGAAAATAAATGTACTCCTAGGGCATAATTCGGGCCTTCCAATATCAAGCAGAAGCCCAAATTATTTGATCAAGTGAACCTGATAATAACTAACCACGCACCGTTGGTCAATTGTGTGTGGGGACAACTCGGTCGAGCGCCATTGCTTATGACTGTTATCACTGCCCTCTACAATGCAGCATTTAGACACTTAACCAGTTTTAAATAAGCATTGCATCTCACCATTTGCAATGGTCCTAAATAATGAACTCTCTGAGGCCTAATTTACACTTCCACATCATTAGGAGATTCAAACAAATGATCTCTGATACCCTCCCAGCTACTTCATTTCTAAAAATCATCTAAGACTCTCAGTGTACCTAAAATACAAGCATTTTGTAAATTCTTATCTAAACCAAATGAAAGCCAACAGATTATTTTAATGAAATAATAAAAGTGATAGACAAAAAGTCAAAAAAAAAAAGTCAAAAAAAAAATTCAAAAAAAACTGAATTCTAATTCTGGGGCCTCTGTTGTGTGCTCTGGTTATCTACAGGCTATATAAAAACCACACCAAACTTTGTGGCATATTCAACATTAATCAATTCTCAGTATTTCCTCTTTGGAAGTTTCGGGACTCAGGAGGTGGGTCCTATTCAGATTGCAGGTGCAGAGCAATTGCAGTCAGATGGTGCCTGGGGCTGGAGTCATCTTAAAGTCTTCCTTACAAACCTGGCTTCTGATGCTGGCAATCAGCTGGGACTTCAGCACAGCACACATGTTGGCCAAATCCTGACTTGCAACCTGCCCTTCCTCGTGGCATGGCAGCTGGATTCCAAGAGAGAGCACAGCAAGATATAGAGAGAGAGCCAGATGCGTTGTGTTGCCTTTTATGACCCAGTCTGGAAAGTCACGTAGCTTCGCTTCTGCTGCATTCTGTTCAGAAGAAGCAAGCCACAAAGGCCTGTCCATATTCAAGAAAAAGAGAATTAGGCTCTATCTCCTGATGGGAGGAAAGTCAATGATTTACATGATTTCTGAAACCACCACGTTGGCTTTAGTCAAGCCACTTAACATCTAAGACTCTACGATTCAATGATTTATCCAAATGTATCTTCTTAGTGTATAAAAGTCAAACAGTTAACAGCAATGAATTCAACTGCATTTCTCCAAATATTCTATCTTTCAAGAGATCAATAGCAAAAAATAGTAATCAGCATTCATTAGGTGGTTACTACACTAAATGCTGTAAATGTATTTTATGTTTACCATGTCACAGTTACAACAATCATTCCCTTGAACTTCTACACATGCACCTTAAATTCAGAGTAATAAGTTTGCATTCAAGAAAACTGACAAACTCTAGGCTTACAACCCCCCACATATAGAGTGTCAACATCTCTTTGGAGCTCTGTGAGAGTAATGTATTCTGGTTTAGGACATGTTTTCACTACTGATCATTATAAGGAAATGTTATTTATTCTTTACATGAAAAATGAACACAACTGTCTCAAATCCCTCTTCCAAGTTCATCTGGACATAAAATTGTGTAAAAGAAGTCATCCCTAAAGGGATTCCTTTAATAGGGAGACACATATATGGCATGATTCAGCCAGCAGATCCTCCAGAAAAACCCATGAACCACATTTAAGGATACCCATGGGATAAAGAAAACTTTCCCCCACCAGAGGAGACACTCAGGGCCCCTGGTTGGCTCAGTGGTTGAGCATCAACCTTCAGCTCAGGGCGTGATCCCAGGATCCTGGGATTGAGTCCTGAAAGGGCTCCCCACAGAGGCCTGCTTCTCCCTCTGTCTATGTCTTTGCTTCTCCCTGTGTGTCTGTCTTGAATAAACGATCTTAAAAAAAAAAATAGGAGACACTCAGGTAGGCCAAGCTGTGTTGAAATCCTGAAAGTAGATCTTTGTAAGGATGACAGATCCCAAGACCAAGTTATGGAGCACCACACCAAAGAAACCTGCTCCCTCCCCCAGAGCACCCCATTCGAACTGGTCTCATTATTTTAAAACACAGCCACAAGCTTAACAAGAGGTACATGTGAAAGCTGACTTCCATGAGATCAGGGACTCAGCTGAAGAGTGAGTGTGTGCAAAGACCAGAGGTTAAGTTCCACAGTGCGGGCTCTCCTGCTGTTTATTGACATATTGACCAAGGCAAGAGTCAGAAAGTGAGGCCATCCCTGAGTCTTCCAAATCCACACCACTCTATTACAATGGAAAATATATTTGAAAGAAAGCTGGGGAGCATGATGCTGATGGTACTAAACAAATGCAGGCCCTGGAGAGGTCTACCCTTCTTCATTTCCAAGTGACCAGAATGACCTATTAGGAAAGGTCAGATTTAATTTGACATGATCACCCTCAAGGAGCCTGGAGTTCATCCTATATTAGTCTTGGATGAAAGAACAAAATAATGGAAGGAAGGAAAGAAGGAAGGAAGGAAGGAAGGAAGGAAGGAAGGAAGGAAGGAAGGAAGGAAGGAAGGAAAAAGGATGAGAGGAGAGGAAGAGAGGTGAAAAGCAGAAAAGAAAAAGAAAGAAAAGGAGAAAAGAAAAGTAGAAATATAAAATGCCTCAAAAAGGAAGGGAAAAGAACACTGTTTGACTTTTTCCTAGGAATTCATTCTATTAAAAACTGCTTCTATGCACAATCGACACTCAAGGGCCTGAGATTTTATTGCGGATCAGTACAACACCAGGCATATACAAAAAGTAAATCTAAATCCGATTTTCTTGAATGAAAATATCCCTGAAAAGAAATCAAACTGTCCTCCTGAGAAATAAAGAGGGAAGTACAAATAAAACTTAATAACAGCATTTATCGAAATGGTTGCCATGCAGTTAGATTTCTACCAGTTTTAAACACCTGGTGAATAGTCACTGCTATCTTGCAGAATTTCTGTTAAACAATTAGCTTGGAAACGTTTGCCAGACTGTTAGTGCTATATGCTCTTCAAGGACGATGGGAAGGCTCAGGGACTGTTGCTGCTTGCTGCAGAACGAACATGTCAGTGGATCTTGACGCTGTGGCAGTGGCTGTTTCAAGGTCCAGACCACATGGAACCATGAGGAAAGGATTTTAACCCAAACCTTGTGGCTAGTTCCTGATAGACCTTGTTCAATGCAGCTCAGGTACCCAAATATCCTAATATTCTCTGGAAATGCAATGAGATTTCAGAGCAGAGAACATGCCCCTAAAAAGCCCAAGTTTCAAAAAACACACAAAGAGGACAAACAACATGACAGTCACTGAATTGTCACTTTGGTTTACATTTTCTCATCCTGGGGATGTTATTTGTTACCCTCACAGTAAGCAGTCACTTCTCACTGACCACAAAGACTCAGAGTTAATTTTAGAATGAATGAACGTTGCCATGTGCTGTGTGCTAAGGACTATGCAAGGTGCCTTCAAATGCTTGCATCTAATTATTTATCCTTCTCTCCTCATCTGGGCTCTAAATTCCCGCTTCTCCTCCTACTACATGACTCAGGTGAGTAACTTGACATGAGTCTTAGTCTTCTCAGGGACAGTGGAAGCAATTATCGTACCCACCTCATAGGATCACTTACTGTCAGGATCAAATAAAATAATGTTCATGCGGTAAATAGGGATTTTTTTTTTTGCAAATAAACTTTTTTTAAAAGACTAAAAGAAAGATGTAGGGAAGATATAAGGAAAGCAAAAAGATTAATGAGCAAGATGAAGGATGGGGGTGTCATAAGAACCTGGGGACCCTCAGAGGAATCTGTAGCCCCATAGCAAAGCTGCTCCCATGGGGAATTAATTCTAGCTGCATCTTCCAGTTACTTTGTCTAATATTAAGATCCCCAAGCCCCAAAGTCTGCTTGACCATATGTGGAGTATGTAACTTCCCTTTAGGTATGTTGGGTGAGGCAAAAATACGATCTTGCAAAGGACCCATCGATGGTGAGAAAGGAGGCTCCTAGACCCACAGTCCCACCAAGAGCACCTGCATCAGAGTAGAGGGAGATCCCCCAAAGGAAATTGAATGCTATCAGAGGAAAGAAGAATGGATGCTACACACCACCCAAGATGACAGAAAAGCAGTAAAAATCCCTACGATAAAAAACACACGGCCCATGTCAAGATTCAACACATGTCAATTCTCTACCGCTGCTTTATGATGCCATCATTAGCCCCGTTTTGCAAAGAAGTAAACTAGAGCTCAGAAAGGTTGGGTGATTTTCCCAAGTCATGCACCGAATAAGTCAACCCAATCATCTGAATGCCAGGATGAAACACTTGCAATGGGAAGAATTAGAGAGGATGAACAGTTGAGAAAAAAACGAAGAGCTGTTTAGGTGGATGAGTACTGAACAAAACCTGTTCAGGATTTTGGTCCTTAAAATGGCTTTCCCTTGAGCACAGCATGAATTTTGAATGTCATGCTCTTAAGTCATGCAGTCTGTTCTGTGATCTCTGGCCATGCACACCTGTGGGGTCAGGTGTCATTACTCACCCTCCAAGAAGCCTCTTGCTCAACAAAAAAAGAGCCAAACTTCAGAGAGGTCAGAGAGTGTAAGTACAGTTTTAACCTCCTGTTTTCTGATGAGATGGATAGAGGGGACAGTGAATGTTTATGAAGCCAGACACACATGAATTTTCAACTAATCTCACATGCAGGCAAGGGCACCTAAGGCAGCCGAGATAGCAGAAAGAATTGGTATCTTCTGGCTGCTATCTAGAGTTTTCCTGAGCCTGAGACCCCAGTCATTTCTAATTGATAGCAAAGTCTGTTGCCACCAGCAAAAATACCAGAAACTGAAGAAAAAGACTGTTCGTTTCCAGGAGTTGCTTCCCCATCCCTGCCCCACAGTCACATTTCCAAGAAAAACAATTTTTAATTTAAATCCAATTTAGTTAACATATGGTGCGTTATTAGCGTCAGGAGTAGAATTCAGTGATTCATCAGTTGTATGCAACACCCAGTGCTCATTACATCAAGTGCCCTCCCTAATGCCCATCCCCCAGTTTCCGCATCCCCCGCCCCTCCCCTCCAGCAACCCTCAGCTTGTTCCCTAGAGTTAAGAGTCTCTTATGGTTTGTCTCCCTCTCTGCTTTCATTTTATTTTATTTTTCCTCCCCTTCCCCTGGGTTTATTTGTTTTGTTTCTTAAATTCTACATATTAGTGAAAGCATATGACAATTGGTTTCCCCTGATTGACTTATTTCACGTCGCATGATACCCTCAAGCTTCATCCACATAATTGCAAATGGCAAGATTTCATTCTTTTTGATGGTTGAGTAATATTCCATTGTGTGTATAGAGCACTTCTTTATTCATTCGTCTGTTGATGGACTTCTGGGCTCTCTCGTATTTCAGCTATTGTGGATATTGCTGCTATAAACATTGGCAGGCATGTGCCCCTTCAGATCACTATGTTTGTTTGCTTTCGGTAAATCCCCAGTAGTGCAATTGCTGGGTCCTAGGGCAGCTCTATTTTTAACTTCTTGAGGAACCTCCACACTGTTTTCCAGAGTGGCAGCACCAGCTTGCATTCCCACCAACAGTGTGAGAGAGCTCCCCTTTCTCCGCATCCTCGCCAACATCTGTTGTTTCCTGAGTTCCTAATTTTAGCAAAGGTCCGTGTACTTCAGATTGGAGCTTAGGGATGGGAAGTTCTAAAGCTGTAGATAGCGCCCCCCCCCCCCCCCGCCAAATCCAACATATTCAAACAGTTTATTGAGAGTACCTTTCATGGAACTTGAAAAAAATGGGAAAAATTTTTTAGGAAAGGTCGTTAAATCCTCAGACATCAGAATAAACACTTTTAGAAGATAAAAATAGGCCAAAGAGCATATGAAAGGTTGTGAGAACTGGATATGATGTGTGGCAGACGTTCACCTCAAGGACAGGAGGTCCAAGGTGCCCAGATCCTGCCTAGAATCACAGAAGTTAAGGGGTCATCACCGAGGGAT